TCCATCAGTTTAGTGCTTAAATACTACCTAACCGCTTCAATTTTACCCCGAGCACCTGCTTGAATGTTTTGAATTTTTTTCTTTAACCTGTCGACACCCGACTTCACTCCAAACTCTGCTTCCAAACGGGCATCAATAGCACTCCACATTTGATGTCGCGCTTTACGATCTTCCTTTTTCTGGCTAAATGAGCGCAGAAAAGCTAAAAAAACACGAATAAGTACGAACACGAATGAACTCACAAAAAAAAAATTTTTTTTACACCAACCTGCCCCTTCTAATTCCATCAAAAACTTATTAAATTGTAAAACTCACTCCTACATTTTCGGTACAATTCCACCAAACGTACACACATCGGCATCGGAATTTGAAAACCACCACCAGCCTCACTGTTGCAAGAACCTACTGCTGGAAATGGTAAGAAGTCTTTAAGGTTTCTTTACAAACTATGTTATGAAAATGCTAGTAGAGGATACTAAGTATTTACTGGCCTAACTATTAGCTTAACTATTACAACGTCCGAGATCTACAAGACTTGCATGTAACCTACAAAATTTGAGAAACCCATCATGCTTATATGAAAAACGGAATATACTAGAAAAAAAGATTATGTTTTGTCTAAATATCCCGTATCTGCACGATACCCTCGACTGAAAACGCAAACAAAAGAAAAAAATTACGTTAGGACTAAAATCAGATGGATTAGTTCAAATAAAATTGGTCAGAGTAATTCAAATGTTTTAAGGGTAAACAAAAATCATAAAAAATATAAGTGAAAATAATAAAAAGAAACCTCTGGAAAAAATGTGGCACATAAATAACAAGACAATTCAATTTATTCGAAAAACTTCAAACATACCTTTAACAAGTCCTAGATTGTCTTTCATTTTTTTTGTAGCTGGCTCCAAGTTACCCTGGTTGGCTGTTTTCTGAAGAAGTGATTGAATTGCAGGTGGACCCTTAAAAACTTCAGGTAATTAAAAAAAAAAACACTGAATACAAAAAGTTTTGAACAAGTTGGGAAAAAGATAAATCCGTCCCGACTTCTGCAAGTGGCTATAAATTTTTAGTGCGATCCAGTGATTTATCTCAGTAATGGTATTATCAAGAAATTCTTCGATATATATATAAAAATAAATAAATAAATAAATAAATAAATATATATATATATATATATATATTAAATAAACAAATAAATAAATATATATATATATATATATATATATATATATATATATTCGAAGAACACAAACTCATATGGGATTTGGTGTGATACTCAAGTTAAGCTTAAAATTTATGTTTTTTTAACTGTATTGACCGCTAAAAATAACAATGACAACAAACATTATAAGCTTCAATTTGCTGAGCAAAGAACTGTTCCAAACTGAAGGTAGAGAGATCTGGTGCGTCGTTATTTTGAGTAAGCGAAGTATTCAACGGAAGGGAATTATCTAAAGTTCAGCTTTTTAGAAGCACAAGTATTAAAAACTCAACTAAATAGCAATGCAAGTTACCGGATTCCATTTAGCTAAAGCAAAAAAATACCTGGATCAGATGAAGGCTTTTCGGCTCCTAAAAGTTTTGAAATGTTTCCCAAAATCTGATTTGCAAAAAACCCCGTAATCTCATCATTCACGTCACTTGCACTAGGCGGACGATCACCAGCTTGAGGTGACGATTCAAACTGTAAAGAATTGTGATATGTAACCGACATGAAAAATGCAAAAGCAAAAATGACTAAACAATTTTCTGTTAATCCGTGCGACTCCATAAACTTTTCTTATGAACAGCATGTCTGAAAGATGTAAAAAGGCAATGATAATTCAGTAAAATTTTTGTAAAAGAGCTGCTAACAAATCAAACCCAAGGAGAGCTAAAGATTTTGGAATGACGCAAAAACTAAAAGATCGACAGAAATCATAATTAAAAGCCTCCATCCTGAAAGATGGTGCCCATTTTGAATCGAAGCGTTGTAAGAAAAAATTCGCACTTTCACAAAAAATTCATGATAACTTTTGTGTTCTATAAAATTATATAAAAAAAAAAACATAAAAAAAAATAAAAACATTTCTATAAAAAACATTCTATAAAAAGTTAAGCGTTTGAATCAAACTGGATCTTGTTCAGTGGCATCAATATACCAAAAAAGGAAGGATCTATACAAAAATGAAAAAAACTGATCCAAAAAACCTGCCTTAACTTGTGTCACATCTCCATTCATTTTGTAATCAATCTGTTCACTCTCGGTTGGTACATTCTCCTCTCTGAAACAGAGCAGATGAATACTCTTTACGACACTTAAGGAATTAAAAAAGCTTTCTAAACGGTTTAGTAAAGAAGGAACTCATTATTAGTTTGAGTGACAAAGAGAATTGAAAAAAATGCACCACGATAAAATTCGTTTTCAACTATAAATTTTTCAAAGACAATTTCACTGTTACAGTTTCAGCACAAAAATAAACTAACAAAAAGTTTGACCAAAAAATTCTTTGGCGCCATACACAAAATAAAATTATCTGCTGACTAAGACGCCAAAAAAGTAACCAAATTTTCTTGCGTCGCTAATACACTCATAAACTGAATTTAAAAAACAAGAGATCAAGAAATTGTTCATGAACTATTCGCTGAATAAATCAAATCAAGAGAAATCTTACAAAACTCAATTAAATAATATGATAGCATTATGTGTCAACGCCAAACTGAAGTGTTTAATGAATAAATATTTCAGCATGAAACGGAAGAAACTTATTTGAAGACTGTATGCTCCAATACCTAAACGTAGAAACGCGTTTAACACCAGTAAAAATGATAAGGAAGACAATAATAAATCGTAGTTCAAAAAGCATTAAGAATACTACATCGGGAAAACTAAAAAAAAAAAAAAAAAAAAAAAAAAAAAAAAAA